GCCAAAGCTTATAGACATTTAACTTTCCCAAAGTCACACAGCTAATCAACAGCAAAGTCAGGGCTCAAGCCAGTTCCCCCTGACGCTTAAAGTCATGTTTTATCCTTACATTGTCCTAACCACCTAAATAAAAGAGAGATCTAAGCCAATTTTCTCCCAAATAAAACTGATTCTTATAAAATTCAGAATATAGGATATGGAATTCTGAGAAGTATAAATAATTTAGAGTAGTTAGAAAACCTGAGCTGCATCTACTTAAATATTTATAAAAATTACGAACAATGGTGACAATAAAGCCATTGACAATACTGCCTTTCCAAGTATCAACAATTAAGGAAATGTTGAAATACCATTTTTTCTGTCTCCCCTTACCTTTGATTTCGAGCTATTTCCCACAAAAGAAAATAACATTTCCTTAAGGAGCCAGATACCCTTAAAACTGCCAAGTTAGAAATCCTTAATTATTTCACTATACATTAGCTCAGGGTAGGTGGCAGGACTGGTCCCATTTAGAGTTGCTCAAGTGACCCAGGTTTGCTCTCCCTGGTGACCTGAACCCATACCCTCATACTGCATCTCTGAGGGAAGTCTCTATAGAAAAGTGATAATTTAATAGAGAGAAGAAGGCAGTAAATGTATAGGTACAAAATATTAATGAGTAGAATAACGGCTCATCTGTGTACTTCAATCGTGATGAAAATTTGTTATTGAGAAAATGCCTCAGAAAGAAAAAAAAATCTTCATATACTTAGTAACCCTTTGAATTTGTAACTCTATGAAGCATCTGTTCATTTCTCTTACCCACTTCTTGACTGGATCTTTAATTTTAGGTGATTTAATTTTTTTGAGTTCTTTGTATATTCTAGATATTAGTCATCTGTCTGAAGAACAACTAGCAAAAAAAAAAACATTTTCCCATCCTGTAGGTTGTCTCTTCACTCTACTGATTCTTCTGTGGTACAGAAGATTTTCAGTCTAATATAACTCCATTTGTTGATTCTTGCTGTCATTTCTTATGCAACTGCGGTTGTTTAGAAAATCCTTTGCTGTTCCTATGCTTTCAAGTATTTTACTTATTTTATTTTTCAATAGGCTTAGTGTTTCTGTTTTAATATTTATATCCTTGATCCTTTCTGGCTTTAGTACTAATAAAATTAAAAATTAAAAAGAAAACAATAAGATCACTAAAAACTTTGTGAGTGTAAAGGAATTATTTGATGCAGTAAAATAAAGAACAAAGAAAAACTGTAGAGGACTTATATAAGAGTGACAGGAAAAATAAAGACCTAGAAACTTGCATGAAATACAGAATATAAAATGGGAGAAGAGAAGAAGCAGGCCTTTGTCCATTATATTCTAAGTAAGAGCAAGAAATAAGAAGGTAGCCAACTTTTCAAAAAGAAATGTGTGCACATAGAAAATAAATCCATATTGTTAAAATAGATGTCTTCCACCAAATAAAAAACAATTCTATAGTAGATTGTTACTTGGTAGGGCGTGTGTGTGTGTGTGTGTGTGTGTGTGTGTGTGTGTGTGTGTGTGTGCTCTAGCTAACTACAGAATTCTGTTTGGGGAAGGCACCGTTTATACTGAAGAAAATAGCTTAAGGAATTATTAAAGGTGGGCAGTGATGCCCTAAGGGCCCAGAGTAGCAGCAGCCAAGCTTGGAGCAGCTATCTACTGCATTCAAATGAACAAGAATTTAGGGGTCTGGAGGAGATTAAGTAGGGAGAAAAGCAGTGGAGGAGCAATGAGATGAAGGCACTAAAGGATTCTGAAGATTTCTAACATACAAATTGAAGTCACCTGGGATGTGTTAGTATGATATAGAAACACTTCCATCTTCCTAGTCTTCTATCAATTTTTCATATTCATAAACATACATGGGGAAAGGAGTAGAGGAAAGAAGAGGAGGAATGAGAGCAAGAAAAAGAGAGAGAGAGGGAGAGGGAGAGAGAAGGAGAGGGAGAGAGAAGGAGAGGGAGAGAGAGATCAAGGGGAAAAGGTCAACTCCCAATAGTCTAGGTGAACATAATGAAAAATAAGAATAGAAAAAGCAAATCATAAAGGAAAGCACTTCCACAGAAGCAAAAGCTTAGCATCAGAGGTGACCCTGAGAATATGAGCCCCCAGAAAACTCACAGAAATCTTGAGGAGGACATTATATTTGACAGGACATGGAATGCAGGTACAAACAAATTATATCTACAACTAAAGGGCAAGGCGATCCCAGCAGACAAGTGGTGCTTGACTGTAAGTAAGAGGATTGTGAGTAATCGAAAAATGAAAGTTAGGGGAAAAAAAAGGGAATAAAAGCAACCAAGCAATGGTCACTTAGAGCTCTTATTGGGTTATTAAGAGTAAGCCATGCCAAACTAACTTCATTTCCTATATAACTGAAGTTACTAGACTGGTAAATCCATAATGCCACAGGCAATATATCTTCATTTCAAAAAAGCCTTTGTGAAAATGCTTGAGTAGGAAATAAAGAAAAGTTTATACAGTAGCCCAATGAAGCAAGCTAGAAGCTCATTTCAATAGCTTTACTCAGAGTCTGTTAATATTTGATTGGCATTACTAGAAAAGAAGATATGACACTATTATCTGTGTCATTAAACTTTTTTATGATTAACTTGTTTAAAGAATTTGAAAATGATACAAGGGTAAGAGGAAAAGACAAAATCTGGAGCCCAAAATATTGTGATGCCAGAATTAACAAGATAAAATTAAATGAATATAAATGTAACATTTACTTTCACATACTAAAAAAAATGAAACTAGTACCATATAAAGAAGACCTGGATGATCAGTAGTTTGAATTCACATATGTGGTGATTTTAGTTGCTCTCAAAATCAATATGAACCAAAATAATAATAGGTAAGATAATGTTAGGCTTCAAACCAGAAAGGCTATTATCTGAATATATTTTGGCATGCTCACATCAGATAATTTGGCTGGATTTCAAGATGTTTTGATTTCCACATTCTATATGACTTACATATAGTTTAGAATATGCACAGAAAAATATTCCCTGAAATAATTTATGGGAATTCTATTGCTTATAATGGCTAACTAGTAACGCAGTCCAATCCTTCTTCTGGGGAAAATGAATAAAGTTTGATGAGATATTTCATATTAAACACATCAGACCTAAAAAAATAATGAAGAATTTCCTGAGATGAGTAAAGGAAAGGCCAAGCTCAGCACACAATTCTTTTATAGTTTACCACAAATGCTTCCCTTCTCTTTTGATATGAAACCTTTTCCTTTTCACAGATGAAATATCAACATTGTGCTGTACTGACAAGTCACCATTAATGTAGGAGAAGATGGTTGGAGTTTAAAATGACTTCTGACATACCTAATTTAACAGCTTGTTGGAGGCCCATGAACTTGTCCAAACACTTGTTAAATTATTTGTAGTTAGACTGTTCCAACTCTTGGTGTGCAAAGTTCCACAAGTATTTTTTTTCTTGTTGCTTTGAACAAAGATTCTTAAATTCATAATACTGCTATTGTGAGCATTGAATTAACAGAGGTAATACACTACAGTGTCTGGCACATTGTAAAAACTATAATTATTAACAATAATTTTTATTACAAAAGTTAGTGCTTTGCTTCTGTTTGATCTACTGTGTCCTCTTGCTCATTTAAGTGACATGGTATGCATGACTTAGCACTGTGCCTAGTACTTACAGGCTCTTAATTAAAATGACAATGAATGTGATTGTGTTCTTTACATATATTTATCTCATAATTGACTAAAAAGGTGGCAGTTTTCATCTTATAAAAGCCCTTTATTCTACCCTATCTTAACAATCTAGAGTCTGAAATGTAGGAAATACTGGGTCATCAGAACTAGGAATCACTTGTAAGTCAGTCTTTCATATTCATTTCTTATTTACAGCATTTTTAGTGTCTTTGTTTACATACAAGAAAACTAAATCTAATAAATGTTCAGATGTTTGACTATTCTTATTCAACAAATTAATAACCAGTCAATAAGAATAACACAATTGAATTGCTTTTTTAGAGTAATAAAATTATCAAAAGAAAATGAACATCAAAGAACAAAGAGGTCATTCTAAATGTCAAAATAATCAATAGTAAATACAAAATGTAAAGAAGGTTTAGCTTAACAATTAGATTTAAAAAATGATTTTGACAAGGAGGTCAATCAAATAAAGCTACTATTTGCTTAATGTAGTAACAGTATAATCACGAAGTGATCTTATGAAAACACAGATGTATATATGGACACAAGTGTAAAGGTCTTCTTTAAAGCAGGAAACTCAGTAGAGATCCCAAGAGATTCTTTGCAAACTTTTCTTCTGGACACCATGACATAGTCAAACTAAATAAATTAGGAAACCAAAATAAGGCTTTATTAAAGTTTTCTTTCTGTTTCCGTGGATTTGTCTGGTAAAATACAACAAGCAGAATATCTTGCTGCCTTGCATTCCTTCTGTTTAAAACGTATTTTTACTCATAAAATCCATTTATATATTTTTGTAATGGTTTACTACAGACTTTACAGACCACTGGTAAAGATTCACTAATTATCACCGTCAAGAGGAATTGTCAAAGTAGCACTCGTTCACAAACTAGAATTAATTTCCAAATATCATAAGCTTTAAGATCTCTCCTTTTCAAGTCATTTATATAAACATTTGTTATATATTTTCTATAAAATTCTATTTTTTACTTATATTTATGTAGTACATAAAAAGCTCCAATCAAAAGTTTAGAACCTTCTCGTAAACATTGCCCGGTCAGCATGCTAACTTCCATTCTTCAATTTCCCACTGGCTTTAGTACTACTTCTGGGTTCAATCTTTTGAAGTATACTTCGGTCTTCACAAACCAATCGGGTCAGCTTCTGATCGGTGATACAAGAAATGAAGGTGACACAAGAATGCACCAGAATTGATGCCAGCTTTGGAAAATGGAATTAGGAGTGAGAGCAATACTAAAACAAACTAGGCCATCTTTTACTTACAGATGACACATGCTGCAGCAGACACATGACATCAATCATGTCTGCGAGAATGAGGAGTCTAGTAACCGCAGCCAACAAGGCACGGGCGGCTTGAACTACAGCCTCCCTTTTGGGGAGATAACAGGGATCATCTGTAAATCTCTCAGCCGATACCTTCAGAGCTTCACCTGAAAAAAACAGACCAAGGAAAGTTATACTTTAAATTTCAATTATGCCTATTTCAGCATTTTCCAGCCAACCTAATTCTAAGTATATTCGATGACATGCATATTAAAATACTGTCAGTTGATGCTAGAACATTCTCTCTTAATAAACAAGGCAGGTTTATTTTTTTTAAGTGAGTCTATTGGTACATTCTAGGTATAAAGTACAGTTACATTCATTACTAGGATCTTGCACCTTTACATGACAGGGTTGGTTCTCATTTTTTCCCCTTGTCCCTACCCTCCCTTCACCCCCTCCTCCTCTCCGCATTTACAAACACTTCATTTCCATTTTTTCATTTTCTCACTTTTTTTTCTTTTCCCTTATTCCCCTTCCCCTACCCTTCCCACTTTCCCTACACCTTTACCCCTTTTCTTCCTATTTCACATTGTTAATTATCCCATTAGGATCTTGAGTACTATTATAGTTTTTCACACCAGAGAAACTATTTGGTATTTACACATGTGTGACTTATTTATTTCACTTAGGAGTATATCCTCAAAATGTATCCATTTTCCTATGGATGAATCTAATTTCTCATTCTTTATGGCTGAGTAGTATTCTATTTTATAGAAAAACCACATCTTCTTTATCCAGTTTCCAAATGATGGGCAAATGGGCTGTTTGCATGTTTTAGCTATTACAAACTGTGCTGCTATAAACATTGGCACGCATATATCTCTGTGATATGATTCTTTTAGTTCTTTTGGAAAAATACCCAACAGAGCTATGGCTGAGTCAAATGGAACCTCTAGTCCCAGCTCTTTGAGGTATCTCCATATTGATTTCCATAGTGGTTGCACCGTCTGCACTCCCACCAACAATGGAGAAGGGTTCCTTTCTCCCCACAAACCTGCCAACATTTGTTATTGATTGATTTCTTGATAGCAGCCATTCTTTGTGGGGTGAGGTCGAATCTCAGTGTTGTTTTCATCTGCATCTCTTGAATGACCAGTGATGTGGAACATTTTTTCATATATTTACTTGCTGCTTTTACTTGTTTGTCTGATAAATGTCTGTTCATTTCAGATGTCCATTTTTGAATTGGGTCTTTATATTTGGGGGGACTGATTGTTTTGAGTTCTTTATATATTCTAGATAATAGTCCTTTGTCTGATGAGCAGCTGGTAAAAATTTTTTCCCACATTGTAGGTTGTCTCTTAGTTCTGCTGATGGTTTCTTTTGCAGTGCAGAAGCTTTTTAATAAGATGAGATCCCAGTTGTTGATTCTTTCTGCTAGTTCCCATGCTACTGAGGATTTGTTCATAAAGTCTTTTCCTATGCCAATGTCTTCCAGAGTCCTGCCTAACTTATCTTCCAGCAAGTTTAGTGTTTCTGTTTTAATATTTAGATCTTTAATACACTTGGATTTTAATTTAGAGCATGGTGAGAGACAAGGGTCTAGTTTTAATCTTTGGCAGGTTAAGATCCAGTTTTTCCCACACCATTTATTAAAGAGGCTATCTTTCCTCCAGTGGGGATGGTCAGCTCCTTTGTCAAAGATGAGGTAGCCAAGTACATTTGGAGTTGTTTTTGTGTCTTCCAGTCTGTTCCACTGATCCTCAGGTCGGTTTCTTTGCCAGTACCATGCTGTTTTTATCACAGTGGCTTTGTAGTAAAGTTTCAAATTGGGAATTGTTATACCCGCTGCCATGTGTCTGTTGCCTGGGATGGCTTTTGCTATTCTAGTCTCTTATGGTTCCAAATGAATTTTTGGATTCTTCTTTCTAGTTCTGTGAAGTATAATGATAGAATTTCAATTGGCATTGTATTGAATCTGTATAGCAGTTTTGGTAGTATGGCCATAATTTGACATTTATTTTTGATAAATGCTCTGAGCTTTAAAAAAACATACCATTTTCCTGAAATAAAATTGTGTTCAAGGGCTGGGGATTTAGCTCAGTGGTTCTGCTGCCTGTCTCACAAACACAAGGTCCTGAGTTTGATCCCTGCTACCAAAAAAAAACAGATTTCTACCTTGCCAGGAGTGGTGGTGCATGCCTGTAATCTCAGCATTCAGGAGGCTGAGGTAGGAGGATCGCTGTGAGTTTGAGACCAGCCTGAGCTACATAGTGAGTTCCAGGTCAGTCTCAACTACATAGTGAGACCCACTATGTAGTTTTTTTAAAAAAAAAAAAAAACAACCAAAAATAAAAATTGTGTTCTATTGACTAGCATCCTTCAATAAAAACTATCAACTTTTCTGTTTTCTGATCTCAATTATTGTGAAAAGTTTTATTACTAAGAAAGACTTCAATCACAAACACTCCTGTTTATAAACATAAGGCAAACCTTCACTAAGTTATCTTCATACTTAATGGATGTTAGAAAAGATCTAGCCTTTAAGAAAGTAACAGTTCTGATAAAAGTCTAAAATGAGCAGATTTATTCTATACTAATATAATAAAGTATATCCTAAATTTAGTCACAGAAATAATATTTCATATTACATAACTGTCAGAGAAATACTATGTCTGCTATTTTAAAGTAATTTTCCTCAGTTATTATAAAAATAATGCATAACTCATTTATTAATAAAAGTTCCCAGTTCACCATTGTTGGTGGGATTGTAAACTGTTACAGTCACTGTGGAAATCAGCGCAGAGATTCCTCAAAAAACTAAAAGTAAAAATTTTTCCCACATTGTACGTTGTCTCTTAGCTCTGTTGGTGATTTCTCTTGCACTGAAAAAAACTTTTTAATTAAATGAGATCCCAGTTGTTGATTCTTTGTTCAAGTTCTCATGCTGCTGAGGATTTCATCATAAAGTCTTCACCTATGACAATGTCTTCAAGAGTTCTACCTAATTTACTTTCCAGTAAGTTTAGTGTTTATGTTTTGATATTTAAATCTTTAATCCATTTGGATTTTAGCTTAGTGCATGGTGAAAGATAGGGATTTAGTTTTAATCTTTGGCAAGTTGAAAGACAGTTTTTCCAACACCATTAAAGAGGCTGTCTTTCCTCCACAGAGGAAGGTTGGCTCCTTTGTCAAAGATGAGGTAGCTGAATATGTCTGGTGTTGTTTCTGCATCTTCTAATCTACTCCATTGATCCTTGGGTCTGTTTCTTTGCCAGTACCATGCTATTTTATCTCAGTGGCTTTGTAGTATAGTTTCAAGTTGGGAATTGTGATACCCCTGCCGTGTCTCTGTTGCCTAGAATGTTTTTTTACTATTTTAGGGCTCTTGTCCCAAATGAATTTTTGGATTGTTTTTTCAAGTTCTGTGAAATATACTATTGGGATTTTAATTGGGATTGCACTGAATCTATATAAAAGTTTTGGAAGTACAGCCATTTTTATTATTTTGATTCTTCCTACCCAGGGGCATGGGATATCTTTCCATCTTCTTATGTCCTCTTCTGTCTCTTTTTTCAGAGTGCTGAAATTTTCAGTATAAAGGTCTTTTGTCTCCTTCATTAGATTGATTCCTTTTTTTTTTTTTTTTTTTTTTTTTTTGTGCATGGTATTGTGAAAGGAATTGTTTCCCTAATTTCTCTCTCAGTGAATCTGTTATTTGTGTAAAGAAGGCTATTGATTTCTCTGGTGTGAAAAACTAAAAGTGTAAATAAGGTTCAAATGGTATAACTGAGAGCATGAAATAGGAAGAAAATAGCTAAAGGGGAGAGGAAAGGAAATGAGGGAAAAGAAAAAAAATGAAAACATGGAAACAAGTTCTTTGTAACTAGGGAAGGGTGAAGGGGGTGAAGGGAGGGCAGGAGTATGGGGAAAAAACAAGAAGCAAGACATATCATGTAAAGGTATAAGAAGATCCCAATGATAAATGTAACTGTATTGTTTGCTTTAAATGTACCAATAAACTTAATGGAAAAAGAAAACTAAAAATAGAAAATTCTATTTGACTCAGCTATTCTCCTTGTAAGGGTCTTTCCAAAAGAGTTAAAAACATCATACCACAGTGAGGTATGCATACCCATGTTTATAGCAGCACAATTCATAATAATTAAATCTTGGAAAGAGCTTATATGTCTATCAACAGATGCATGGATTTTTTTCAAATGTGGTATTTATACACAGTGGAGTACTATCTTTTCATAAAAAGATAAACTTGATTTATTGTAGGAAAACTGATGCATCTTGAGACCAAAATGTTAAGTGAAGTAACTCAGACACATAAGCTTAAAAAACACATGGTTTCTCTTATCTGAAAAAAATATATATAAATAAAAGACATAATTAGAAAAAAGAAAAAGAAAAAAAGATATTATAATTCAGTGCAGACAATGTATCTAAAAGTGTACCTTGACTTAGTACAGTTGTCTTACATATTTTATACATTCTTTGGCCTATTAAGTCTGGTTTTCAATATGTATATATGATAATTAAATTTATATGGTCTGATAAAACAAATGAATCTGATGGTACAAAAATAAAAAGGGGGATGGGGGATAAAGAAGGGAACTGAAATACATTATGTACATGTACCAATTCCCTATAGGGATGCAATCATTATGTACTGCAAACATGTTTTTTTAAGTATCACACATATATTTAAGAATATATTCAATCAGTATGGTGGTGCATGCCTATAACCTCAGCACTCAGGAGGCTGAGGCAGTAGGATTGCTCTGAGTTTGAGGCCAGCCTGGGCTACATAGTGAGTTCAAGGCCAGCCTGAACTACATAGTCTCAAAAAAAAGAAAAAAAAGCCAGACATGGTGGCATAGCCTGTAATCCCAGTATGTGGGAGGAGAAGGCAAGAGGATTTTTACAAGTGCATAAGCACTATGTAGCCTAGGGCAGCCTGAACAACACAGTGAGACCCTGTATTAAAAAAGCTAAATAAATTTTTTTTAAAAATATTCAGATCTATTAATTTCATTTACAAATAGAGATTTCATGTCATAAAAATATTTTACATATTACAAATGGAAAATGTTATAGATATAGCATTCACAGGTGATATCATACTATAGAAATTTTCTACAATTTGTTCTTTTCA